TGATGTTAACTGGGGTGTGTTATAGTGGTTAGCGTACGTGACTGCTTATCCAGTGGTCGCGCGTTCAAATCATGAGTTTATCAAGAATTTTTTATGTTTTTTTCTTAGTTTACTTTTAGATGCGAAGCATTTCTTAGTGAACTTCGGCGACATTGAGCATATCTATCTATCTATCTAGCTATCTATCTATCTAGCCGCCTACGACTTTTAGCTCTCCTGGTCGTTTCAATAATGGTATCAATATGAAACTTGGTATGGCATGACAATACTGTATGAAGAACATATAAGACTAGTCATAACATGAAAACAATGACATGAATGGCACGAATGTCATGACGTACACTTTATAATCTTGCAGCTCTTGCGGTGATTTCATTCACATGGCATTTAAAAAAATTGGTATGGTATGACATGATTTCATGTCGAACACAAGCGACCGACCTTAACATGAAAATCGTGACATGCGTGTCATGTACCAACATGACTACATGCCACGCTCATGATGCGCTCGCGGCCGTTTCACTAGCGTCACATATACCGAATTTGTATTTCGTGTTACGGGACGTCAATGGATGACGAAGTCATGATAGTGGTGCAAAGATGATAAAGATGAGATGCGTGTCATGTAACAACATGACTACATGCTACGCTCACGATGCGCTCGCGGCCGTTTCACTAGCGTCACATATACCGAATTTGTATTTCGTGTTACGGGACGTCAATGGATGACGAAGTCATGATAGTGGTGCAAAGAAGATAAAGATGAGATGCGTGTCATGTAACAACATGACTACATGCTACGCTCACGATGCGCTCGCGGCTGTTTCGTAAGCGTCCCATATACCTAATTTGGTATTACGATACGTGAATGGATGATGAAGGTATGTGACTGGTTCAAACATGATAATCATGAGATGCGTGTCATGTAACAACATGACTACGTGCCGCGCTCATGATGCGATGGCGGCGGTTTCTCTAGCTTCATATATACCAAATTAGTTATTACGGGACGTGAATAAATGACGAAGGTATAATACTGGTGCAAACGGGATAATCACGACATACGTGTCAGGTAACAACATGACTACATGTGATGCGCTCGCTGCTGTTTCGTTAGTGTCACATATACCAAACTCGGTATTACGGTACGTAAATGGATGAAGAAAGTATGTCACTGGTGCAAACATCATAATAATGAGCCGTGTCACGTCGCAACATGACTACATGCCACGCTTCTGATGCGCTAGCCATTATCCTTTTTAACTAGTTTTTTAACTAGTTTAACTAGGTTCACATATGCCAGTTTAGCACAACTCCTACTGCAAAAACCAGCACCACTGGGTACCAGCGTCCAGCGCCATGCCTGGTTATAAGCCCAGTATGGCGCTGGTACCAGTGCCTTCCAGCGCAGGTACTGGGACGCTGCGACAGCGTCGCAGTACTCTGCGCAAAATTGCTTCGCAGGGTTAAAACGGGGGTGCCAATTCGCCATAAATAAATATATATATCAAGTAAAAGAGCGTGCATTGATATTGAAAATGAAAAAAAACTAAAAATAAAATATACGTTCCTTAACGAGATTTGAACTTGCTACTTCCTGATATGGACCGAGTACGTACCCACTACACCACGCCAGAACATGCAAGAGTGGTTGTAAATCGGCTATTTATCCGAAGAACGCGCCATTCAACTTGATGTTTACAAGTCGCACAGTCAAGACTGACACGATATTCCTTTCACATAACAATTGCGTCTTGATTCCACAGTGACGAGCGCCTTCTAGGCACCAAATCACGAGCAAATATTAGCAGGAGCGCAATGTTTTTTTTAGCTATCCTCATTTTACTCAGAAAAATCTCAAATTGACCGAAGGAGCAGCCACCGACTGCCAGCTGTTGCTGCCGATAGTTTTTTTTTTCTTTTGATAGTCGGTTCTAGCAGTTGCTACTGGTCAACAAGTACAAATTATTTAAATATCTTGTTTGGTAGATATCCACGCCCACGAGTGAATATTGAGTATTTTTATTCGCGATAGCGACGACGTAGCAGTACACATTCGGCGTGCCAGATTAGAGATTCGCAGTTATATCGATACCTGCAACTAAGAAACCACCGAAGAAATGACTAATGCAATCCACTGAAAAAGTATACCCGCATGTCAGTTCACTAAGGCGTACCAAATTACTAACTCAAAATGGCGTGTTCGTACATACGAGTCAGAAAAGTACCGGCTCCTGCGCACAGAAGGAAGCTTTCGGTGACAGCCTGCGTTGCTGAAAGCGTGACACATCGAACGTCGCCGCTCCTTGTGCGGGCACCGCACACGCAGATAAATGGTCGATTTAGGCTCAGGAATGTCTAAACTCTACTTTACAGTCATTCTTACACTTTAGAGTTGTGCCCTCTTAAAGTAAAAAGCACCGACAGCATGTACACCGACGCAGCTGGCATGATAGGCCTCATCGGGAAGGGGCACTGGGTAAGGCTGCTCTCGAAGCTGCTGAGTTGCGATGCTTACCGTTTCCGCATATGACCATTGTTACGTTTATAACTGTTCCCTAAACTGTACCTGAAGTAATTGGAACGTCAATCAGCAACAGAAATGCATTTACGGAGTGGCGATGCCGAGTGACAGCCGTTTTTCTGGCCTCTGCTGGCAGTATACAGCGGGCGTGCCAGTGTACGGATATATGCAGTTATATCAATACCAATAATTTAAAATAAAACGCCCTAGAAATACAAATTCAATCAGCTGAACACATATGCCAGGGAGTAAGTTCACGAAGGCGTACCAAATTACCAACTGAAAATTGCGTGTTGTTACATATCAGTCAGAGAAATACCGTCGGCCGGCAGCTTTCAGTGACAGCCTGCGTAGCTGAAAGCGCGATGTTTGATCGTCAGCGCTCCTTGTGCGAAAATCGACACAAGTCAAAATAGTTGATTTAGGTTCATAGATGTCTAAAGTAGACTTTACAGTTATTCTCACACTTTATAGTTGTGTGTACGCGAAGCAAGAAGCGCCGGTAACATATTTACGAACGCGGCTGGCACGACAGGTTTAATGCTTGCTGGGCCGGGCACTGGGTAAGACCACTCTCAACGCGGTGAGTTGAGAAGGTTGAAGATTCTGCATTTGAGCTTCGGAACATTTTAAACTCTTACCTGAAGTAAGTAGAAGGGTAAGCATGACCAGACATACCTTTATGCAGTGTGGCAAAATCAAACGACAGCTTTTTTCTCGCCTCCGCTGGGAAACCTTGCGAAGCGAACGAGTGAGCTTATTTGCGTTTCGTCAACTTTGCGGCAAAAACAGTTTTCTGTTTTTGGTAGGAGTGGCGTGCAGCTCCAGGCTTACAAACACTGCAACTCGTAATCGTTACAGCAATACACGGATGATGCGAATGTGGCCAATATACGCGGGGGCAATTGCAAAAAAGGTGCATTATAATTGCTGCGCTTTGTACGTGCGCCGAAAAAATTACGTATGCTTGGTATCTTTTAGGATAGCATCTCTCCGTGCCGTCGAATCAAGTGTTTTATATTCAGCGACACCTAAACACCCCACGGCACATGCTACAATAACGTTCACACTGCGCTGGTAGAAACAGAGCGTGCTCCAGTACTTACCAGCGCTTGCCAGTGAAAATTCCTGCGCTTTCAGCGCTTCGCAGCGCGCACCAGCATCGCAGCGGTTGAACCAGCGCCCCTACCAGTGCGACATAGCTTTTTCCCAGTGCGCCCAGTGAAGTGTCAGTGATTACAAGCCTGCACCATTGTCTCCAGCGCGTACCAGTGCCAAAAAACGTACTTGCATCACTCAATTTTCGCAATAGGGACGTGATGTCAATGGATGGCAGAGGTATGTGACTGGTGCAAAAATGATGATGATGAGATGTGTCATGTGAGAACATGACTACATACCACAGTCAAGACGCTAATACATTTCGACGTGACGTGCTGCGAGTGTTCACCAGCGTTCATTTCATCACTTCACGCTGGCGTTGCAACACTAGGGGCCGAACTTGTCACATACACGCAGGTGCGCGCCGTGCTGCGTTGCTTTGACGCATGCACATTTAAGCGTGTCCGGCGTCCCTCCATCACAAAAAGAGGCAGACGCAATGCTGCCTGGGTAACGCATCGGCGCGAATTGCAGCATGTCGCATTTCGCGCCAGTTGCCATCGGGAAGCGCCGATAAACGCTACTCGCGCTTGGCGTCAGACTATAGAGTGCTCGCGTTTCGCTAACATAACGTCGCTATACCCAGCGTGCGCGCGCATCAACGCTCCATTACAGTATATTGGGCTCTTCATGATGCCACGTACTGTGGATATCAATGATACGTAAAGCGCCAATAAAGAAGGTTGATATGTCACTTTAAAATGAGCACTACGTTCTTAAATGAACGGAAATTATGCCTCCCATATAATTCATGTCATGATTTTGATGTTTAGATATGTCATTACCCTTGTGTGTTTACGCAACGTGCTAGCAAGTTTTATATCACGTGACATAATTTGTGGAGCTAGTGAAACGGCCGCGAGCACGCTATAAGCTTAGCGTGTAGTCATGTTTCACATCACATGCACGTAACGATTATCACATTCGGCCTTGTCGTTTACCCTCTGTAGTGGCGGAGTATGCCACCGGTTATTGAACGACTAGACAACTTCAGTGCCCATCGGAACAAAAGCCCCTTTATTCCAACTTGCGCATGCTTATATACATAAAAAACACTGGCGCCACCTGCGGCAGTGATTGTGGAACCGAAACCAAACAGACCAATGTACAGCACAATCCCTTCCTTAAAAACAGCTATCTGGATTATTGATTTATTAGTTTAGTATGTTAGCACATATGCAAAAAAAAACACTTTACAAAGATACAACCTGCACAATGAATGTAACTACTTAGTACTACAATATCACAGAATGTACAAAAGGAATTCACCTCGCTGGATACGTCCATTTCATTCACTTTTGCACAACTTCTCTTGTTACACCTTGTAGCCATAACGCTCTGGTGGTAGTCTCTTTCTTGGTGGTTGCACCCTGCGTTGTTGTGTGACTGCTTCTGGAGACTTGGCTGACTGCGTCGCAGCAGGCGACCCGTGCGCATGCGCAGCGTACGCAGGAGACCCGGGTGCCTGCGCAGCCGAAGGAGACGCGGGTGCCTGCGCAGTCGAAGGAGACGCGGGTGCCTGCGCAGCATACTCAGGAGATGCGGGTGCCTGCGCAGCATACGCAGGAGATGCAGGTGCCTGCGCAGCATACGCAGGAGACGTGGGTGCCTGCGCAGCGTATGCACGAGACTTGGGTGCCTGCGCAGCCGAAGAGGCAGCAGCTGAAGTCCTGGTAATTATCTCTGGGGTGGGGTGCCCGCATGTAGGCAGAGACCCTCCTCCCCTAGCTGTACCGTTTTCTCCCCACGCATCAAGGGTGGCAGAGGCTCGTAGCAGAGCTGGAGTTCTTGCCGTTGTAGCAAGCGGTGTGCATCGGTAAACACCGAGGTACTCTGTTACCGCCTGGCGCAAGGGTCTCTGCTCAAGAGCAGCCACTTGAATGAAGCTTTTTAATACTCTGTTAAAGTGCTCCACTTGGCCGTTTGCTCGTGGATAGTATACGGACGAATGTTTGATCTGGATGTCGCAATCTTGAAGAAATGCCTCCAACTCCCGAGATGCAAACTGTGAACCGTTGTCGCAAATAACCTCTTCTGGGTAGCCTTCGCGCACGAACACAGTGACTAAGAAGCGTATTACTGTGATGGCTGTCGTCTCGTTACAGAAATGAACTTCGGGCCATTTGGAATAATAATCTACAAGCGTGATTGCATCTCTGCAATCGTAGGGTGCCTTCTCAAATGGGCCTAAAATATCCATGGTGAGTTTGAGCCACGGCTGCTCTGGAAAGGGGACCGGTTGCAAAGGTGTAGCTCGCACCTTGACGCTCTTGGCTGCTTCCTGGCATATGCTACATATCTGGATATCTAGCTCGACTTGGCGGTCCATGCCCAGCCGCCAATTCTTTTCTCGCAGCCGCGCTTTTGTTCGCACCACTCCGGGATGCGACTCATGTGCTGCAGCGATTACCTGCTGCGTGAGTGACGTGGGAACCACAAGCCGTTCGCCACGCAAGATAAAATTGTCTACCGCAGAAAGTTCGTCACGTACTTTAAAGAATGACTGAAGCTCGGCCGATAACAATTTCTGTGCAGGCCATGACGATTTCACATAGAATTTTCTTTGTTGCAGTGCGCTGTCTTGCAATTGCAACTGCTCAAACTGTTCTCTGGTAATGCAGCAAGGAATTTCGAGAACTGATACAGCTTCGTCGAACACCGTTTCTTCTTTCTAGACAGACAACGCGGGCAGGCGTGAGAGTGCGTTTTGCGACCCCTCGCAAAACTTCGTTTTGCGACCACTTGCGGTACTCTACGGTATAGTTGTACCGTAGTAGACGCTCTGTCCATCGCGCTACCCGCAATGGGCGCCTTCCAGTTCCTTGGGTTGAAAGCAATGCCACCAAGGCTTGATGATCAGTGAGCAACGTGAAGTGGTGGCGTCCCCACAAGTACACGTGCCACCGCTCGCACGCCCTGACGCAGGCCAACGCTTCCCGTTCTCCTACCGAATATTTACTCACAGCTGGTGAAAGGACTCGAGACGCGAAAGCGACAGTGTGTAGTTTATGTCCGTCTACCTGCTGTAGGACCGATTCAACTCCATACTGTGATGTGTCCGTCGATACTAAGACTGAAAGAGATTCATCGAACATCCTCAGTATAGAGCTAGATGCTAGCCCGTCTTTGGTCTTTCTGAAACTAGCGTCTACCTTGTCTGACCAAACGAATCGCTGCCCCTTTCGTAGCAGGACACGCAGTAGTTCAACCATGTCAGCGAAATCGGGAATAAACCTAGAATAATATTCGACTAATCCCAGAAATGATGGAAGGCTGGCGGGGATCCGTAGGCGCTAGAGTGTCTCGGATGGAAGCAACCTTTTCCTTCAATGGTACAATACCGTTTGCGGTGATCTTGTGGCCCAAGCACGCAAGCTCCGGCGTATCGAAGACGCATCTCGTGTTCAACTTCAGTCCTGCCTCTTTTATGTATCTCAGCACTGCGGTAAGATTCGCCATGTGCTCCTCTCTGTCCTTCCCAAACACAATGATGTCATCGATATAGAACAGGACTTTGCTGCAGCCCAGCAGAATTTTCGACATCATACTCTGAAAAGCAGATGGTGCCGAAGCGAGCCCAAAACACACGCGCTTAAAAAGAAAGAGGCCGTCATGTGTTATAAAAGCCGTTAAATCGCGGCTCTCGGGGTGAAGCATGACCTGGCGGTACGCTGATGCAAGCTCAAGCTTGGAAAAGTGGGTTGCCCCCACTAAACTATGCAATAGCTCTTCTGTATGAGGGATGGGAAAGCTATCTGCTACGACGGCTTTGTCTACCTTTCGAAGATCTACACAAAGGCGGGTACCTCCATCTTTCTTTTCAACCACAACAATGAGGGACAACCACTCGGATGCCTCTATTCGCTCTATCACGTCCGTTTTTTCCAAGCGGTGCAGTTCTTCCGAGACTCGCGACCGCAGTGAGAGCGGAAGGCGCCTGAGTTTTGAAGCAACTGGCTGAACTGTCGACTATGTTTTGACACGATGAACAAAACCCTTTGCAATGACAAGTCATGGATTGAAAATAGCACCAAACTCTTCGACTAATTCTGATGGAAGGTGAACGGGCTGCGCCGCCTTTGTCATGACAGCTGTGTGCTCCATTTGAGCGCTAGTACGCAGCGCTGTCGTTTCAAGGCACTGTAGTGACGACCGATCAATTTGCAGACTGAGCGCCCTAATTGCATCAATACCCAAAAGCGAGGTGCCTTGTTCAACGACATCAAAAACAAGCTTTGTTGTGCAGTTATTGTACGTGATATCAGCAAAGAGGTAACGACACACTGGAATGGGTTTTTTCGAATAGTTTAGTAGTCTGATCGAGCAGCTGAGAGCTGCTGACCTTCAAAATGCTGCCTAAATAGGTCATGCGTCAAAATTGATAATGATGACCCTAAATCCACGAGAAAAGTTAACTTTGTTTCACCAACTACTACCGATACGTAGATTACGGGACGAGTGGATGTCGTCACGGCAAGAGTGCTCAATACTTCTTCAGTTATCGAACTTTCGTCGCCTAGTTCACGAACAGGAGCGGTGTTTCTGTTGCTGACCGAGCAAAAATGACCCATAATATGGCAACCATGACATCACTTGTTTTTGGTGGGACAGCGGATTGAAGATGCGTTGTGCCGAGATGAACTGCAGCGGTAACACTGACCCTGTTGGCTGCGCGACCGCTTCGAGGGGTCGCTGGCAGAAGATGCGGGCGGAGGGGTGTTTTTGCGAGCATCTATGCTCTGGACATCTGCAGTAGCAAAGTTTTTGCAATCATAGGTTGCCTTCTCAAACTGCGTCGTTATTAGTACAGCTCAAGCGAACGAAAAAGAAGACCCTTCAAGCAGCAACCGCTCGCGCAAGTTCCGAGATAATACACCCGCAACGAACTGGTCACGCAAGGAATCTTCCAGAGAAGGAAAAGAGCACGTAGCAGAGAGCTCACTTAACGCGGTAATGTACTCATTGATTGCTTCACCAACTTGCTGCACGCGCTTTCCGGATCGGTGCCGTTCGACCTCAACATTTGTTGTTGTCGTGATGTGCGCATGCAGAGCTGCGACAGCGTACGACGACACAGCGTACGACGTCGTACGACGACACTTCTTTCTGTATTTGAAAACTTTACTTGACCTCTCCCGAATGCGTATCAGTAGTTGGCTCACCGGACTTTGCGTTAGCCAAAGACTGAAGCGGTATAGTGTGAAATATGCGGTGACCTTCGACGCCGAGGCTGTGGATTAGGAGATCGTTGTGACGGTCCGGCGCAGAGTCTGAAACACCAGATGCGAGCAGAAAATTCTCGCAAATCCATTGCGGCCAGACAATAGATCCATTGTGGCCAGACAATAGCAGGGCGGCCAGGCATGGGCAGGAACGGGGGTGGTGGTGCCAGTCCGGAAACAATCATGGCGCCGCAAACACTCGGCGAAAATGACAAAACTTACACCCCTCCTAAACGAGCACCCTCGTCGCCAATTCAGTGTTGGGGTGTGGCGCCTGTTAATGAACGACTAGACAACTTGAGTGCGCATCGGAATAAAAGCCCTATATTCCAACTTGCGCATGCTTATATACATAAACAGCAGTGGTGCCACCTGCGGCTCTGATCGTGGAACCGAAACCAAACAGACCAATATACAACACCTTCGTCTTACTAAACTTGCTATATGTGAAACTAGCAAAACGGCCACGAGATCGCTATGAGCATAGCATGTAGTCATGCTTCACATCATTCGTGTGTCACGATTATCATGTTTGGCCGTGCCTTTTACCTTCGTCTTGTATTTACGTCATGTGATACTGAACTTGCTGTATGTGGAGCTATCGAAACGGCTAGGAGCATGCTATGAGCTTAGCGTGTATTCATGTTTTACATGACACGCGCATTATGATTATCATGTTTAGTCATGTCATTTTACGTTCATCGTCTATTCACGTCACGTGATACCAATTTTGGTATATGTGCCCGGTCGAAAAATTGGTCTGGTGATTTTCTCGTTCAAACTAGAGTGGTAATTCAGACACAGGTTTGTGCGTACGTGGCTGGTCTGGTGTATGCGGCAATTTTCTGGTGTGATACGGGCTGGTTTCTTTTGGGAAAATCCAGACTGGGTGTGTTTTGGTAAGAAAAAGGCTGGTGTGTTTTTGCATTACGGGTCCGTCTCCGCGTATTCCTTGTCTTTACGTAATAGATGTATTTTGGATAAAAACATTTACTTTTACGCGAACATATGCAAAAACAGCAGGCTTGCAGAGTAGTTATGGACAGAAATTGACATCTCTGTTCATTTTTTTCTCCTCGTCTAAGCGTGACCTTTGGGTTGACCTGCGTCGCTTCCTTTTCCAAGAGGCTTCGGGCAGCACTGCAGGTCAAGGAAAAGACGGAGAATTCATTACAAGAATGCCCAATTTGATAAATGAAGTTAAATATGTTTGTTGCACATTTCTGCTCTTAGCTTTTTGAACAAAAATAAGGGTGTGCAAACATTAAAACTTTCAAATAGTTTTCAAATGGCGCTTACTGTTCGATTATTTTCCACTAAAACTTTAACTATTTTACTTCTTCACTTGGAGTTTTCCTTCACTAGCAGACAAGAACTGCCAATTAACAAACTCTTGAAGAAATATTTATAATCACACGAAGCAAAATAGTGCATGAGTGGTGCTGAAGCAACCTAAAAGCGTGTCAGCTTCTTGCTTCACAGGTGAAATGCTTGTTTAGATATTTTCGTGCAGAATGATCCTTGTGGTGAAGCGCATTTAGCAACATATGTTAGCTATCCATAGATAAGTACATCGTGTATGCTCATAGTCTTTCAACTAGACGTAGGCACTATCTTATGCCCATTTCTGCAGGTACTATTGTGTTCAAATAAAGTTTTTTTTATGATGAGCAATATTGTTTACTGGAAGGAGCTACATTGTTTCTTTTTTCCTTTTTCTTAGTTATTATTTATTTCCAATACTGCTAACCCCAATGATAGGGGCTCGAGCAGGGTGGTACAAAACATATAACAAGGTTTCTTAACAAATACAACAAATGCACACAGTACAAAATTCAACTGACAATATCAACGTGAAATGTCCAAATATACATGCAGACAAGCCTTTCGTAATACAAAATACATCAGGGTTACAATTGGAGGAGAGCCTGAAATGTATCACACTCAACTACAGTTACTACGTCTTTATCGAGTTCATTCCATTCTGTTACAGTTCGGGGAAAAAAGAATATTTAAAAACATTGTTCTTGCATTTAAATGGCACTTATGAGTATGGATGTCGTAGCCTTGTAGAATAACCGCTGGAAAAAGAAATGTAGTCACACGT